TTTAATGTTGTATATCATTTTACTCATTTAGTATAATACCCTGCTAGCCAAGCTCTGAAAACACAATCATCAGCAATATATTAGATGCATTTCTTTTTAATTGAACATTTGCATGGCACAACTTTTGCTATTTTCGGATGAGCTTTGTATGAAGCTCTGAGAGGCCATATCTTTCGTTTTTTTCACATCATATATCTACTATAAAATCCAAATAGTTGTAGCAATTAAATTATGCTTTAGCTTCTCATTAATCAAACCATTCTTATCTGCAGGAGCCTGCAAACGTGCATTGTGATGTTGCACATGGAAAGGATCATCAAGAGGATAATGTTCCCAATGACCTCAAGGAAGATGGTGTTCAGAACTGACCAGGAAAAGATGTTGACCCACTTAACCATGAATCCAAGATTAGTTTTCTTAGCTCTCACCCCAGACATGCTTGTTAGTTCTCGCATTTAGCAAGTGTTAATAGTCTAAGAATTGATATTCGTAGTATTTCTCTGTGTTGTGCTGGAAATGTTGATGTGAATGACGTTGAACCAGCCTTTCCGAGGATCTGGCAGTTGAAGTTTAGAAGCGCATGATTGTATCCAAGGTTGGTTTTCTTAGTTCTTATCCCAGACATGCTTGTTAGTTTTCTCTGATGGCAAGTGTTAGTAGTCTGAGAATTGACATTGGTAGTATTTCCTGTTTTGTGCTGGAAATTTTTGTGTGAATGACATTGAATCAGCCTTTCCAAATATCTTGTGGTTGACTGTGATGGGCTTCAGTTTACACCTTAAACTGGGCCATCAAGTTATACAATTATTTTACCATGGGCCATGGTCCACTTTACAAGATGAAACATATACATAATGTTTATTACGGAGTAGTAGTATATCGAAGGTTCATTTTTTGTATATTGGATGTTCATTTTTTGTATTGCTGGGCCATTTGGCAAGCCACATAATGAAGATAACTAATTATCTATTGCCACATCAAGAAATAAAAATAAGGGAATAGAAATAGGGAGTATATGTAGTAAAACTCTTTTTTATTAGTATTTGGTATATGTATTAAAATATAGCTATAATTCTAGTTTTTTTTTTTTAATTAGTATTAAACTTTTGATTTTTGAGGTTTATTATACATTTGTATTTGTGACTTATTCTTTGTGAATTTTGCTTGTTATCAATCGTGGGAATTATAATGTAAATTCATTTATGATGCTATCAAAAATTGAAATTTTTTTATAGTTGAACAATTTAATTAGTAACTATATTTATAATGTGTGTTTATTTGTATGATTTATAATGTGTCATGTATGTTATAATAAATATTTAAATTGATTAATTTAAATGTAATATATTTTGTGAAACTTTAAAATAAAGTCACTCTTGAGAATTCATTTAACCAAATTAGTTCTTAAATTTTTTTAGTGTGAGTCATTGTATTCGCCCCTTTCTTAGGAATCTTTAGCTCCTTTTTTTTTTTTTTTTTTTTTTTTTTTTTTTTTTTTTGGGTTAGATGACATGTTTTCTCAATTAGGGTACAATAAGAGTTCACACACCAAAACGGACCTTAAATGGTTAGAAAATCTAAATGGGTTTTAACCACTCACTCCATACTATCTTTTTAACTGAAATCTGATATTCTTTTTCTGATTTTACTTTCAATATTCATCTCCTTATGTAGCAGTATGTGATTGGATTAATAAATATATTCTTTTTTTGTACATTAAGAGGGGAACACTAGAAGATAATTTGGGAAAGAAAATTTATTTATTTTTTTTTAAATATCCCTCTCATTTATTGGTAGTAGTTTTCAGGATTTTGTTGTTTCAGTTCTCTTTGTACAGATGCAATTTCCTTTTCATCATTCGGTTTTGAAAAGATATTTTGATTCGTTCTCATCCGTCGCAAACTGCAACAGCAACATATTATACACGGAAGATTGTCCCGTACACAAACCCTATTTCATATGCACCACGTATTTGGTACATTGTGAATGGGGATAAACTTCTAACCAAATAATATGAAAAGTCTTTCGATTCCCGGAATGAAAACAAAAGGAATAACAATGAAAACGATTAATATATGATAATATGAGTTCTATCTTATACTATTATTAAGGGTGTATGTGTTTGGTTCATGGGTTTACACATTAAGAATGAGAATTAAAATCATAGTTAATGTTTGGTTGATAATTTTTTAAAACACAATTATAAGATTTGATTATCTTTTCAATTAAAAACTCAATTTCCTAATTTAAAAAAGGTTTCATTCCATCGGTAATATGATTTTTAAGTTTGGATTAGTGCTTTTAGATTTTTGTATTGATTTTTTTTGTTCATATTAGTGCTTTGGATGCCATTATATTAAGATCAATTGTTTTGACTTTTTATTTTTATATTTTAAAACATTTATTCTCATTATAGAGTCATACATAACCAAACATCAATATTGATAATTATTTTAATTCCACCCTACTGCCAAACATGCAAAATACTTTCACAAAAACTCATATCATTACCAAGTATTTGATCCTCATTCCGATTTCGATTTCGATTTCGATTCTATGTGCGAACCAAACACACCCTAAGTTTTAAAAAACGCATAAAAAATACGGGGTAATTATTATAATTTGATTAGTTTAAAAAATATAAAGTGATATGGAGTATATGTCAAAAAAGTTTTATTGAATTGTAAAGATTTAAGCATAAAATGATTAATGTCAAAAAGTCCTATTAAATTATAAAGAGTTAAGCATAAAATGATTAATACTATTTTTTTTTTCTCATTCGACAGTATAGTAGTAACATTTTTGTTTTGAAAAATAAAATATTAAATAGGCCATTGAACTTGTTATATATGTGTAATTAGGTTATTGAACTAAAAATATGTGCAAATACACCGTCAAACAAATAAAAAAAAATGTACACTTTGTATTTTTAATAGGTTTAACTTATATTTTTTTTTTCTTTCTTTCTAAATTTGTTAATTTTGGATTTTATATATATATATATATATATATATATATATATATATATATATATGGGATGCTGTTCATGAACTATTACATAAGAATAGAATAATTCAATATACTTTCGTATAGTAATTTTAGATTTCTTTCGCAAAAAATAAAAAATAAAAAATGCATAGGAAAAGAAACCCAATTCAGTTTTTTTTTTTTTTTTTTTTTTTTTTTTTTTTTTTTGAAAAGTTAACCAATGGATTGTATTTATAGATAAACTGAAATAGAGTCAAGTGGGACATCGTCCCAGTACATCGTAGAAGGAAGCGTAAAGGCTGAAGTAGCTAAAGTATGAGCTAATAAGTTCTGTAATCTAGGAATAAAAACGACAGAGCAGGAAGTAAAAGCAGACATATAACTCCTGCAACTATCTATGGCATAGCCAATGTATGAGCGAGATGGGTTGTCTAGTGTAGATAAGTACCACTGCAATGTTTGACAATCCGTATGAAGCTGTATAGATTGTTCACCTCGGGCCCTTAGCCAAGAGAGAGCCTCTTTACACGCAAATGCTTCGGCCATAAGTGAGGAAAGCGCGCTGAAGGCCGAAGTAAAACGATCGCTGGCATCGAGTAGGACCGCCCCGACCGTAGCCGAGTTTGTCCCTTGGTGATACCCGGCGTCCACAAAGCATTTTCTTGGCCTTGCTATGGTGTTTAGGGGATCGGGCTGGTGCGGCAATGGACAGAGCAGCTGTCCGGCAGCAGCGTGAGGCGCTGTGTGACTTACCGGCAGTGGCAGTACGGTCGTTGAGGAGTGGTCCGGCAGTGGCGTTGCAGCAACGGCTTGGTCGTGCGGCAGTTGGGCGGTGGCTCGACAGTGTACGCTCCGCCAAGCACGCATAGTGGCAGTGGCTGCCGCAATTACACTCTTTGGTCGTGGTAGACAGGCATCTCACACAGCTCCATTCCGTGCTCTCCAAATATGATATAAAATTACAGCGGCGTAAATAATTCCATTAGTGCCTATAACATTTATGATTGCACTAAACTATTCATGGAAAATATTTGTTATAATATTGGGGAGTGGTAGGTTGGATTGAGCCCATAGGGAGCTTGCATAGCCACACAACACCAATGAGTGCATAGTGTCTTCATTCATGATTGTACACATGGCACACATCGGATTAACATCCACCCTCTTTATAAGCAAATTATTGGTAGTCGGAAGGATATCACTAATAGCTCTCCATAGGAAGGTTTTTCCACTTGGGTGAGATTTTTAATTTAAACGCCCCATTATTATCATTCTCATAATTTCCAATAATGCATCTATAGTCATTCTTGACAGAGTAACAACCATTTAGATCCCCGTACCAATACCATGTATCATCATAATATGAGAAAATTGATATTTTTAGGATTTTAAGTATATCAACTGGTTGAAAAAAATATCAGTCGAGAATATATTGATCCCATTAACCAGTGTCCTGAATAAAATTAGAAAATAAAATTCAGATTTACTATATTGTAAAAAGAAAAATTAGAAAATAAAATTCTTTTTTAGTTAAATTACGAGGTGTCCTGCACTATTTATATTTAACTAATCCTTGTTTGTATCGAGAGACTTAATTAAGGGACAAATTATGATTAAATTTAAAAAAAAAAAAAAAAACTAAGTTCGTATTTGAGCAGAATTAAAAAAAAAAACTAAGTTCGTATTTAAAAAACTAAGTTCGTATTTGAGCAGAATTAAAAAAAAAAAATTAAGTTCTTTTTTTTGAATGTTACTGGCCCTATTACATTGTAGTATCTGTCCATATACTTTCTCAACCTACTGAAACACAAAGAACCAATAACGCCTCCACTGAGGCTCGAACTCGTAACCTTCCAAATGGAAGTCCAACCCGGGTACCATTAGACCACATAGTCTTGGTAAAAAAAAATTAAGTTCTTAATTGAGCAGAATTGTGATATTCCTAGAAAGACCGACCCTAAAGCCACAGAAAGTGGTGTATATAAATGGCAGCTAGGCAGAATGCCTCCCCCAATCCTCACAACTCAGGTTCACGACCCGACTGAAACATCTTCTTTAGAGAGAGAAAAGTAGGGAATAGATAGAGAGAGAAAGATGAGTGGGATAACGCAAGACTGGGAGCCCGTGGTGATCCGCAAGAAGGCGCCAACCGCCGCCGCTCGCAAGGACGAGAAAGCCGTCAACGCCGCCCGTCGCTCCGGCGCCGAGATCGAAACCATCAGGAAATGTAATTTTTTTTCCTTACTCTCAATGTTTTACCCGCACATACGTATATAGATGCCGTAGCCATCGATGTCGGGTCTGATACGGCTTTAGGGTTTCTTTCTCTGACGATTTGTTTTGGGGGAACTGATAAGATAATTTGTCTCGATTTCTGCTCGTTTAACTTAATCTCTATTTTATTCGCTTTTTATGATTGGAGATTCTCCTATTTTTTCTTTATCCTCTCAACTATGGCTTTTCATGATTTTGTCTTAATATCTGGATTTCTTTTTGATTATTATACATTATAATGGTCATAAATTGATGGCCAAGTTGTATCTTTGTTACCTGGTTGCCTTTTGATTCTCTGCAATAGCTCTTATAGCTTAAGGTCGCATCTATTCCTTGCGATGGCTAATGCCTAGTTGTTATTCATATAATATAATTGGGTGGTATTAGAAAATTTGGATTTTTATTGGTGTTATATTGTTTTGTATGTGGAGGATCCATTTTTGGGTTTTTGTTTACCTTCGATGATGAGCCTTTTATGTTGAGGACAAACATTGTATACCTTGGTTGAGTTTCTTCTGTGCTAAATGATGGTACCCAGAATGGTTGGTTTGTCTTTCTTGCCTGTGAATCAGTGAGAATAAGCACGATCCTTGATACAAAATTGTAATTGTAATTGGGTGGTGACTGGTGAATGAGATGAAGTGCTCACAAGTTTATTCTATTCTGCAGCTAATGCTGGCACAAACAAAGCTGCCTCCAGTAGCACTTCTCTGAACACCAGGAAACTTGATGAAGACACAGAGAATCTGACTCGTAAGATACCTTTTCCCTCTGGATTCTGTTATTCATAAACATTTCATGTTGAAGTCACTCATCTTTTTTTTTTTTTTTTTTTTTGAATGTCTTTTGCGTTGTTTCTATTGAATAATTTCCTCTACCCAGAGGCAAAAGTTGTCACAACATCCTTCCTTCTAATTAAGTACTGAAATCATACGTCCATACTGTTCCGATTTCCAAATTTTTTATTACCCAATGGTGCTGATAAGTATCTGCATCCTGTTTTCCTTGATAGGATTTTATCCCTTTCATTCTTTACTAGTTTGCTGCAGCAAAATTATACTTGCAACTTTTCTGTGCTAAATTTGTCGACATTCCCAGATCAAAAGGTGCCAACTGAATTGAAGAAAGCTATTATGCAAGCTCGGCAGGATAAGAAATTGACCCAATCTCAACTTGCTCAAGTATGTTTCTCACGTTATCTTTTGTTGCTCAATGTCACAGAGTAAAGGGGTGTTGTTTTTGTGGCATTGAATAAAATCCTCATCCTTTTCTGTTTGTGTTTGCAGCTCATAAATGAGAAGCCACAAATCATTCAGGAGTACGAGTCTGGAAAGGCAATTCCAAATCAGCAGATAATAGCGAAATTGGAGAGGGCTCTTGGTGCGAAACTAAGAGGAAAGAAATAAACTTTAGTCTTTGCGAAAATAAGCCATTTTCAGTTAACAGTGTCTGTTGAGTCCTAAAGAGTGGTGTTGTACATGAACCTTGTTCTTTGATCTCACGTTTAATCCACTGTTGTGCTCAGCTATGGAAGTTATGGCTTTAAGGACAAGATTTGCTGTGTAATGTGATTGTGTTTCAGTTTACAATAAATATGAGGTGACTGGTTGTTTGATTTCTCTGTTTCATGATATTATAATCTTGATATTGCCTTCAGTATTCTTTATCCATGAAATGCTAATCTCAAAAGATGTTCAGTGCCCTACTTCTTACAAGTTTTGCATGAACATAATAATGTAATAGAGGCAAATTTACAACTTTATTTTTTTCATTCATAATTAAGTTCTCCATAAAACAATTGCAAGTTACATGTTGAAGCATCCGAGTCCACCAGCAAAACTAGAACAGATATTTCTATATATGTTACTATACTACTTGGAAGATAAAGAACACAGGCCCCAAAGCAAGGGGGGCATATATTTATCTACTCACAGGCCAACTTTGTGCCAAAACTTGTGAGGCAAATTGCAAATGCTTGGAAAGCTGACAAAGGCTTCCTGTAGTCCATTGTAAAAACATCATCCCCTACCTTCCCAAACTGGAGGATCACAGTTTCCTCATCACCTTTTCCACCAGGTTGGCTCTGATCCAATGTAGCGACTAGTTGAAAATTCTTTACCGAAGCTACTGTCACCCTACCGTGGAAATTCAAGCACCAACATTGTAAGTGTTCATGCCACCTTGGGGCTTTATTTCTGAGAACTGTGTATGGTATAGCGGCAGAGCTAGGCTTTTTCATAATCGCATCGTGTAATCTGTCTGTATTTGTGGTGTCTCCAGAGGATAGACACTTGAGAGAGCACACCATCCTCCTAGGCCCCCTCGACTTCAAGAGGTTGAACTTATAGGAAACACATCCAATCTCAAAGTTTCCAGCAGGGACTTGGGGGCTTATCTGCTTGCTTGTAAAACGGCGGCAAGATCTGCTGCTTGATGGCTTTGCACCACTGTGTGGTGGTTGACTGTCATATATTGTAAAATTGGTTCCTAGAAAATCTGACCTGCAAAGGAGAAATTCAAAGTTCGATAAAGTATGTAGAGGAAAGAAGTGCACAATTTAATTGTGATATTTTTATATTTTACTTATGGAACATTGCCACTGGAGAGGGGGCTTAACTTCAAATGTTTACAATTTTCTTCATTTTTATTATATATGTGGAGTTTTCCCAGCAAATTATTTTAGCTATTAAGCATTTTAATCAACACCCAGTCAGCAGCATCAATTCTTCTTCCTTCTTTTTGCCTTGTAAGCTCCCAACGTATAACAAATAGAAACAAGCATGCAACAATCCCTAGTAAACTTTCTTACCTCCGCAAGCATCCAACACTTATGAAACCTGGTTTTGTCATCTTCAATCACCTAGGTTCCAAAATCTGTTTGTGGTCACTATGCAGAATGCAGTAAGTGCTAATCATTAGCATTTTTTATTTTTTTTTTGAGAAGTTCCAATGACAAGATTATGGTCCAGCATTAGGGCATTGTAACTTCTTAAAAATACAAGACAAATGCCTAATCCTCTCACAAATTGCATTTGAGAATAGAAATACTTAATGTGATCCCACAATATGTAACCTTTGGACAAATTGCTTGTTCTCTTACTTTCTGATGCCACACTTGGTAACGGGAAAATGACTCAAAGACAAATGGTGGGAAGCAAAGGAAGAAAGAGAAGATGAAAAAGAGGCACAGGTTGTATTCCCAGTGGATCAATGGAACAAATCAACAACAACAACAACAACAACCATGTTCTTTCAAAAAGCATATACCTGATTCGAAAATAACATGGATTGGCAGAGAACTAGATTGTGAAATAAATGATTATCAGAGTTGATAAAATGGTTTGCTTGAACTAGTACCAAATCAAGGCAAAGGTTTTATGATAAATAGAGAGTAGTTCTAATGTAAATTTATTTATCATGATTAGTCAGTTTGTACACACCTCAATTTCCCGACATAGGCTTTACTTCTTTGAGATAGATCGTCAGCATCGAGAGAAATTACGTATTCAGTATGAGCACCAGTCCTACATCTTCGTGCAGCTAGGAGAAATTTTCCCTTATCCACAAGTACTGCCAAATATAAGTAAGGATTAAGGACCCCTCCCATAAGACAATAAAAACCTCAAGAGAAAAGCAAGCATCCAGGATTAAAATCTGGCTTGGTTGAAAATGCAAGTGACGAAAAAAGAAAAAGGGACATTTGCATTAGACGGCATTCTTTAATTTTGTAATTTTTGGTTTGGACTCATCCATGAATCTTCCTAAAAGAACAGATATCCAGTCAATTAAAAAATATATTCAGAAACAAGAATTGCTCACAGCTGACACATGATGATTAAGTTAGTATTTAAGTTTAGAACATATCATACAACTAATACTTGAGCAAAATTTCAACATGCTATGCATAAGAATATTGTTGTGAAGAATACTTACATGGTGAAAGACCAAGATAAAGATAAAATGTGGAATTCTTCTTGTCACGTTTGATAAAACATTGAAGTGGAGCATCACGGGGCCCTGGCTGCAGTTAAGATTTAAGAAACCCAATCTTTGTCAATGACTCAACTAGACAACTAGTAAACATAAAGTGGAAATATAAACTATTACTACAATAGTCTCATGACATCTGCAAATGAAGAACAGAGGAGTCATTATTTCGCCTTCACACTCTTAAACTTAGGGGGGGTGGTGTTCAACCAAACCCATTTACACCTATACAAAATATGTGTATCTTTTTAACATGTTGGTTTATTAAGCAAATTGACAAAGCTCATTCTTACTTACTCAGCATATGACCTTGATATTTTTATATATTTTTTCTGAAACCTGATTAGCAAAGTTCGTTTGCAAACAAACTTTTCTAACAGAACCTTGTAAAACTCATAGGCAATGAATACTGTCTTTCAATGTAGTTCCAAGTCTTCGATGTCCCTCGGAGACTAACAACAGTAAGAATGGGTAATGATGCCCCATAAGAATCACCAAACTAGCTCAGAGTAAACAAAATAATTTATGTGTGCACAGTGCAATAAACAATAGCTGAAAGCATAGCTCTCTAGCAACTACAAATGGAATTGTAAAAAACAGAAATGCAACAAACAATAGCTAAAAACATAGCCCTCGAGAATAAAGCAATGCCAAACTTCACAATTCCTCGATCTAAAAAGGGAACTCATTTATGTGCAACACAACCACTGGAATATACCAGCCAGTACGACTAAATACAGTGTACCAATCATCAAGAGCATAAACAAATTTTCATGGAAAAAAAAAAAATTAAACAGACTAGTAAAAGCTCAAAACCCGAAATTTCGACTATAACTAAGTAAAATTAGCTTATAGATCACCACTAGAATTCAAATACGCCCCAATTAGATCAACAAAGAGAATCATTATTAACGAATTTCCGAGGGATCCCAGCCGAATTGCAGTACCTGTTTAAGGCAAGAAGGGAAGGTGATTTTTCCAGCGTGAAGGGATGACTTAACAGTTTCTAGAGTGACCTCTCTCCACCGCTTGCACACGCATCCACACGCAACGACGTTTTGGCGGCTCGGCCAACGCTCCTCGGTGGCCTCGACTCGCCGTATTATATCTCCGAGAATCTCCGGCAGCATGTTCGCCCACGAAACCGCATCTCCGCAACCGGATTCCTCGACAGCACCGCCACTTTTCTCGTCGTATTCATCTCTAACATTGACGATGCAACAATCATCCCGCGCTCCCCTTACACAAGTCTCCGAAGCCTTAGATTCTCGAGAAGCTCTGGAGAAAGTATGCGATCCACTTAGGTTTCTACGCGGGAGAAACGAACGCCTCAGTGACATCCTTTCCTTTCAGACCTTCCCTCTTTCTCTCTCTAATTTTCTCCAGGTAGTTCTGTAGAGAGAGAAAATGCGACGGGAACAAAGTTTAGAAAACGTGATACAAATTTCTCCGCAGAATTGAAAAAAAAAAAAAAAAAAAAAAAAAGATGGAAAAGTTAGCGTGACTGTTTGTGATATAATATCTTCGAAATTTTTAAATTTCCGTTTTTCTATTGGTATCTGACAGACATGTGAGGTTAGTAGAGAGTGGATTTTCCGGTTTGAGTTTGACCGTGGCTACTTGACCCGGTCGGGAAACAACGCCGGAACCAATTAATTCGTGTTTAATTATCCTGCCCACCACTTCTCGTACGAAATATATGGAAAATTGTTTGTATAGGTAAGACCCTAAAACAAAACCTACTAGTCAACTATTACATTAAATTTTTTTAAAAATAATATTACATATATTTTTACTTCTTACATATAATTTTAGTTAATAAAAGACTACTGAAATAATCGTAGATGGTTCAATTAGGATCTGGGAATGTTCTAATGTAGCACCACACCAATTTTTGTCCATTTCATTTTTCTTTTGACAAAATTTGGATGTGTAGTATAAGTTTTATTCCCTAAAAGTGCGACTTATTGGAAATGTTTGGTAAATAGGTGTTAGCTGATTGAGTTAGTGTGTTTGACTAGTTGATAATATTAGTTGATGGTAGAAAGATGTTTGGTAAATAAGTTATATTACGTGTAATCCCAAATTTTACTCCCTCGCTTTTACTACATGATGTGGCAAACAATGATAGAATATTTTTATCATGTCCCTAAAAATATGTCTACATAAAGGAATTGTGAGGAGTAACCGTCGGGAGTAAGAAATAGGAGTCATGTAGTATTTTTTTTTTGATAAATTAACAGATAGCTGATTACATACAAAATAACTTTTTCAAAACGCCGATATAAAAAGATGCTTTGAGCAGCTTTTTGAATTTTAGTATTTTAGAGCAATAAACCGTTACAAAAAATTAATTAATCAAACACTCATATTGATTGTTTAACTAAGTCAAACGGCTAATAGTGATCAAACAAGTCAAAAATATTAGTCATTGTTTCCTTTTCAAATAGTTCTCGAGTTTTTATTTTTCATATGTTAAGATCAGAAGAATAAATACTTACCACAACACAGAAAATCCGCAAATAAGTAGTCTTTCAGCTAATGCATGATAAAATACTTAACTTAATTATCTGACTATCCGCCCATCAATATTATTTACTGCAATAATGAACTTAAAATTTGAAGAAAACAATGTGATTAAAAAAAGTGGAAACAATTTAACCACACCACATTGATTTTACCGACCAGCCTAATTATTATGATTTTAAATTAAATCGTACTCCAGACGCAACTTATGACACCAGCTGTGGAAGCGTGTCACCCCCACAATTCCACAAAACTGGCAAATTAAACAGTCTTTCAATACAAGTTGCTTCAATTCAAAACCCCACACCCACCAGGTGGATGAGAAAATGCCAACATTACACGCACGGACTTAATTCAATAGTTCATAAAAGTAGTATTTAGGATTATGTTTAAAGTATTCAGATTTCTTGTGCAGACATAACGGCATTTGGCTATATGAGTTAGTGAGTTATCGTGATTTACATCCTTCTAGATGTTATGTCGAGCCGGGATGTTAAAACCATTGAAGTTGGGGATTCAATCTTTTGAAATAAGAAAATGCCAACATTATACGCACAGACTTACTTCAATGGTTCAAAAGGTAGTATTTTAAGGGTCCGTTTGGAAAGCAGAAAAATGACTTCTGAAAAATGATTTGTGGAAAATGAGTCATTTTTCGGAAAACATTTTTCTTTTCCAGTGTTTGGTTGCATTTGGAAAACGATTTTGGTGTGTTTTGTTCATTTTCTGGAAAATGAGTAGAATTGTATAATTAAATATTTTAATTATTTTATTTAGAATATAAAATACATTTTATATTTTTAAAACTAAAAAAAAAAAAAAAAAAAAAAAAAAGAGTAAAAGTTCGAGTATCCGTTTGGTTTCCGGCGGAACTGGTTTCCGTTGGAACCATAGTTATGGTTTCCAGAAACCATAGAAACCTTTTAAAAAATAAAAATAAAAAAATGAAATAGCAATGGCGGAAAATGACTTCCGCCAAATTTTGGCGGAAGTCATTTTCCGCCGAAATGGACACATTTTTCCTAGTTAACGAAAAATGTTTTTCATTGATTAGATTTTCCAAGTGTTGCCAAACACCAAAAATTCGGAAAATAATTTTCAGAAATCATTTTTCGGATTTTCAAACACAGCCTAAGATTATGTTTAAAGTGGGCAGATTCTTTATGTATAACGTATTCGGTCCTGTGAATCATTGCATTGCCGTAATTTACATCTTCCTAAAATGCTCTGTCGAGCCTAAGATGTGAAGACTTTTGGAGTTAGAGATTTAACATTTTAGGTGAAGAAAATGCCAACATCATAAAAGTCCGACGATTTAATTTGTTTATAAACTTGGATAAGATCGAAAGAATACAGGGGGTATACTGGTTTTCTGTACTGTAAGACGTGATATGTAGCATTATTTATAGCAAATTGAAGTATTTAATTGCGGAGTATATATACATAACAATAATTAAATATAAGTAGTGAGTTATAGTTGAGGAGTATTTTTCGAATTTTATCAACACTCATCGAAAGCATTAGGCGCTATAGGCAATAATAGGCTATGGCATGCCGTGTGGACTTTGTTTCTTCCTTATTTAATTTTCAACTTATTCTTTTCATTCTCTTATGAATCAAAACGGGGAATAACACTATTTCTCATAATTACTTCTCTAACTCTTAAATATGATATTTTAATTTAAAATTATTTTATTTTATTTAAAAGTATCACATTTTTTTACGGAGTTTTAAGTATTACACTTTCTTTTATAAATAATATAATCAATTTATTCATTATTAGTATTACACTTTTCTTAATAAATATTATATTTTTTTCTCATAAGTAATAATCAATTAATTTATCACCGATTAGTATTATACTTTTTTTTTCTAAATATTTTATTTTGATTTTAAAATATTATATTTTTCATAAAAGTATCACATTTTCTCTCATAAGTTAAAAAAATCAATTTATCTCTAATTAGTATTACATTTCTATCTAAACTCACTCTCGTCTCATGGAAAAAAATATGTGGTATAGGTCTCACAAGAGACTCATCTCACTAATAATTAGATGATCAAATTTGGAGATGCATATAATTGATGAATTGAGTCTATTATAATTGAGTAATTGAAAAAATAAAAACGTTATTTTTCTCAATAATTATAATGACTATGACCATGGTGATGCGCAAATTATGTTGTGCAACCGTGTGCATCATGCATGGTGTACACGGTTGCAAAACGACACTGTTTATTATGATGGAGTAACAGTGCTATTAGTGGCACCGTTTAACTCCACCAATCAAATAATATTTATTTTTATTTTTTATTTGTACAAAACTCCAATCGACGTGTAATTATGAAAATATATAGTTATGCAATTCTGAATATATAGTTATGAAGTTATGGATATATAGTTCTGAAGTTATGAATATATAGTTTTGAAATTATGGATGTGTAGTTACGCAATTATGGATATGGTTCTCTGTGAACAAGCACTTTAATAATTCTGAATATGGAGTTATGTAATTATGAATGTCTAGTTGTAAAATTATGAATGTATAGATATGAAATTATGAATGTGTAGTTATTATTTTTGAATGTACTGTTGTCAAATTATGAATATATAGTTATGTAATTCTGGATATATAGTTATGAAATTGTGGATATATAGTTATAAAATTATGGATATATACTACTATTTGAATACGAAAAGAAACCGCCTAACGTCGTTAACGATGATTCGAACGGAATTTTTTAAAAATGAAATGACGCCGTTTTGCAACCGCGTGTACCATGCATGGTGCACATGATTGCATAGCATCACGATTGGTGGTGATGGTGGAAGACGAGGAATCCCAAAATATAATTCCATTACAAACCGGCCCAAAATACAATTGGAGCCTAGTACAAATAATTGTGAGAAAAAAAAAATCATTATTGTCAAATAATGTATATTAGTACACATACTTTTAATATATCAAAAATATACTCTTTTGCTATTGTTTACGGCAATTTATATCCTACATCACGGCGCGCGTTGCACTATGCGCCCAGATGCAAAACGACGTCGTTTTAATTTTTTTTTTTTTTTTGAAATATTCCGCCCCAGTGAATGACAGTAGTTCTTTCTTAAAAAAAAAAAACCCGCTATTCAAGAATGTACATAATATTATACTAGAATACACATAATTGTATACATGAATGTACATAATTATATAACAAAATATACATACTCTTTTTAAAAGATAATACACATAATCTAACATAATACATAATAAACATAAACTTTTAACATAATACACATCAACTATTAACATAATACACACAAATTTTTTTATTCGAATGTACATAATTGTATAAAAAGAATGTACATAATTGTATAAAAAATGTACATAACTGTATGAACCAATACACATAACTGTATGAACAAATACACATAATTCCAGCAACTTTCTACCGCGCCTCCCAAAACGACTCCAAAACAACGACGTTTTGGGAGGCGCGCGGCGCACAGTGCTATGTGCGCTGTAGTGTAGGGTATAACGATTGATTGTTTACATAGCATTGTGTAAACATATGGTCCACCCAATAATTTTTTTTAAAAAAAAAGAAAAAAAAACAGTATGCCAAATATACACACATCGATGAGGCTACACGTAGTAGCGTAAATCAAATACATTTGCAGCTGCACTGCTCAGTCTTTTTAACAGGTGGTGGCATGCATGCATGCATGCATAACATCACTACGTGACACGTTTCAATCTTCCTTCTCGTCTGCTTTCATTAAATAATCACCTTTAATTTAATAATATGCTCAATTGTTTGTGCTCCTTGTTTATATTTTATATATTATATTATATAATCTGCTCATCAATAGTTACAAACAGCGTTTCAAGCAAATATATTATTATAGAAGAGATGGAATTATGAAATTTGGGATACATATATATAAGATTAAATTAAACGATGATCTGATCTTATATATATCTAATTATCAGAATGTGCATAATCTAATCTCCCGATCACTGTGAGACATTATTCTCTCGTTGACGGTCATGATTGATTCCCCAACGACGAATCCCGAACATGAGTTGCGCCGCCGCAATCAAGAACTCCACCGCCTGCTGCGCCGTTAACAGCTCCACCAAGTTGGTAATGGTCTTCATCCTCAGCTGATCCGCCTTCTCTAATATCTCCGCCAGCTTCTCCATCTTCGCATCAAGCTTCCCACTCATCATTCCAATTATATCACTACCGCCATCCTACCAAAGTGATCGATCCAGGATAACAATAAAAAAAATTAAAAATTAAAAAAATTTAAACATGTGTTCCATCTCAATTAAAAGCCTAAATTGATAGTTGCAAATTATATGCGGTGGGTTCCAAGTAGTGGAACCAATGAGGCCATGATCTTTGATCTGGCTCTGATACTAAGTGTTCCATCTCAACTAAAAGTCTAAGCTGATAATTGGATTGTTGCATATATTAATGGTTATATGCTCAACAGGAATACATATTGAAAAAAGATAGGTTAGATATGCGTGCCTGCCAATCGGAGAGTTGGTCGGCGATGTAATTTTCTTCTTGGACGGTTTCGCACTGGAGCTCGCTGACGCGGCGGAGCTGGGTAGGGGTGAGGTCACCGAGGTCGCCGTTACGGAGGCCGCGGAGGATGTCCATGATGTGGGACTCGAAGAGGATGCTGGATTCGGTGTAGATGAGGTGGAAGACGGTGGTGGGGCGCCACCCGCCGATCCAGTGAAGCGACCGCTCTAAAGAAGTGGCCCACGGCGCCGTGAACACGCCCAGGATGTCGCGCTTGGCGGCGATGGACTTCACTCTGTAGTATTCGTGGCAGTGAGACATCACCTTTTGGACCATTTCTTGCTGCAGCTGGTGGTGGTCGGCGGTGGTGGCTGGCCGTGGGGCTTGGCCGAGCTGCTGCACCAGTTGCCGGAGCTGCTCGAACCATGTCTCGTGGAAGCTTTGGAAACTCATCTTCTTAATTTAATTTCTTCAATTCTTTGAGTTATGGGTATTATATTGTACAGATCAGAGAGAGTCTTTTTGGCTGTTTGGGTATTATAATAAAGCCTTTTTTCTTCCTCTTCTGAATGGAGTGGTGAGAATCCCCTAGGCTACGTTCAGATTGTGCCATCTGTTCTAGTTATGGATGGGGTTGACGTCAACCCTAGTTTGACGTTGAAAAAATAAGAAAAAAGATGATAGGTTAATTATAGGTATGCTTAGTTGTTGTGATGAGAAATATCTCTCATGACATTATTTAATGGTATGTATGAGTTAAACTCACTCTTGTGTGTGATAGTAACTTATTGATTTTTGCGATCGGCCAATACTATTAATTGTGATTTAAATTAAAAATGGAAAATATGTGTTGAATAAATTATTGAAGTTTTTTTTTTTAAATAAAAATAAAAAAGGGACGGGTGTAATCTAAAAGTTAAAAAAGAGCTAATTACTCTCCCTCACTCTACGGACGACGCAAGTGGCACATGCCAAGTCAATAAGGTAGGCCTCCTCGCTACCCGCCTACCTTATTACCCAGGGGTTGGTGTCGAAAGCCGCCCACTCTGATTGCTAATGGGCGTCTATTGTTGTTAGAACATCATCGACCTTGTTTTAATTTGCTCACAATGCATAGTGTAATTGAATCTTTTAAATAAAAATAAAAATTATATTTAAGCTTTAAAAAATATAGTGTGGTTTGCTCATTTAACATGTTAATATGCATGTAAAAATCAACTTGGTCGGGTGCTAAATTAATGTTGAATTAAATTCTCTATGTAATTTTTAAGAGTAACACTTCTTTAACATTTGATGTAATGTTAATTTAGTTTAGAGATTATACCAGCTACGGTCTCTTGACTATTGTGATTTATCAGTAAAAGCCTCCTAATTATTTTTTGTTCGATTTTGTCACTTAACTACGAAAATGTTACCTAAATCGAGCTTCAGTTAGATTCCACGTTGAATCACTGTTTGGTAGATGGGTAATAGTTGGCAACTATGTATAACGTCCCGAGCTGAATTGAAGACGAAATTCCTAATTTTTCAACCGAAATCAAGTCCAGAGCTATCTCCTTCGCCATTACAACATTCTCTGAATCTTGCGTCCTTCGATAATCCACCCTTAGCTCCCACCGCCATTCACCAACTGAAACGCGTTGGTCCGTTGCTCGGCGTAGATGGGCCATGTCACCATCGGAACGCCGTGCCACATGCTCTCCAGAGTGGAGTTCTAGTTGCAGTAGGATATGAACTCCGTCGTGGCACTATGGGCAAGAACTTCTATTTGCGGGGCCCATCTGCAAACCTTCCCCCTATTTCTCATCCTCACTGCAAATCCCGTTGGCAAAATCGGGTCGAAATTGGTGAAGTCGCTGGCTCTCTCAAAGCTGGTTAATTAAGGACCACGATTTGCGGACAAAAAAAGTTATACTAATTTAAACAAAATAACATCATTTTGATTGGATCAAAGTCAGAATGTATAAAGTCAATTTCGGCCCACGATATAACGATTCTTGTTTCATTAGGTAAATATATTGTGAAATTTTTTACAACATCTTATACTAGTACTAGTATGTTACAATACCTTTTTGTAAAAGGAAAAATATAACATTTTTCATTTCATTATTTTTTTGTTTGATCACAAATTTTTTTGAACCAACACGGTCCACATTTTACTGAAATTAATAATGCTCGTGTTGAATAAGATTTCAAAAGCAATAAAGCACTATTCAAACTCAAGACCTTTAATTAAGAGTGAATAGGTTCACAATGTTTTATCCCTTAATTGATATATATATATATATATATAGATATATGAATTGAAAAGTGTCCATCATTACAACAAACTTTTTTTCTAATTGAAAAGAATATTGTAATTTTAGCTATATATATATATATACACACACGTACGTACTATAAACCTATATTCTGATGTGCAATGAATTTGAGTCTACTGAAAGCCGTAATGTGATTAAAATGAAAGTATATTATTAATGAAATGCAAATGGCGAAATGCATAGAAGTAATTGCAGCCTAACCAATTAAAGTAGTTACATTTTAATTAATATAATATAATTAGTGAGAAGCTAGCTATAATATATATCTAGCCTAGTTTAATTAAGTTGGCATGCTGTATATACATTTATGCAAAAACGCCGTTAATTATTTATATTTTATATTAGTATAATTTTGTGGTTGGTTTTTGAGTGGATTGATTAGCCCGGTGAAACACTGCAGGCGGCGGCGGCGGCGTCTTGGGTTGTGTTGAATTGACGGCCGGCGGCGGCGCCGTCTCTCTTTTTGCTCCACTCATGGATGGAGAGATGCAATTTCTTGGCGACCAGAAGAAGATGAGCGGCCTGGAGCGGTGTCAAGATTTTGAGTAGCTCCGTCAGTGTCCTCAGCCGGAGCTTGTCGGCTTCCACCACCATCCGCCCCATCGCCACCGCATGGTTGTCCAAAGCTCGCTCCACGTCCGAGCTCGATTCCCCCACTTTCTTGCTCTTGTTCACTATCATTGCCAGCGGCTCATCCGCCATGTCCTCCTGCAACCACACCCAATCATAAAATTGTTAATAATAATTATTATTATCATTAGAGCAATTTTCAAAGTAATGGTAAAATTCGCCTCTAAATATGGTTCGTGCTCATTTTTTGCCCCTATGCTATCAAGTTAATAAAAATACAAAAAGTGCAACGTCAGTGATAACTTATCGACAAAAAATGAACATAACCAACAATTAATGACGATGACGAATTCTACAATTATCATATAACTTATTAAACGAAAAATACAATATTATTATTAGATATATGTTAACTTAGACTAATCCTAAACTTTCAAAACTTTTATGTATTATAACATTCAAATTCATAAAATAAAAATAAAAAATAAAAAAAAAACGGGTTGATCTAGCCCATGGGCCTACAGGATTGGGTGGGTTGGCCATTGGTGGCCCGCACAAGCCCACCCTTCGGGCCCGGGGCTTTCGTCTCGCTTCGTCAATCCGTATTTACTGATTTTTGGCTCACCTTATTTCGGCAACCCATATTTACTGGTCTAGTTTAGGTTAGACTAATCTAAAGTGTCTTAAATTTAAGAACTGTTGGAGAAAATAAATTTGAAATCTTCTTGTAATTCTTTTTGTATATACATTTTACAATTTGTATACAAAGGCTGGTCTTCATGGCCTCTGATCATACTTATTTTCAACAAAATGATGCATGCATGAAAGAATATAATGTATGAATTAATATATAGTAGGTACATATATATATATATACTATGCCTGCCTGTAAAGTTGCTATCCTGCTGGAAAGCTTGTCTTCTTCTCTAACAGTCTTGGACTGCAGGGCGTTGATCTGGTTGAGCTGAGTGGCCGAAATATCTCCCAAACTACCCTTCCGCTCTCCCTGGAGGTACCCCTGGAGGTGGGAATCAAGGTCGGCTCCGCAGAGCGAGTAGACGAGGCGGATGGAGAGCGAGGGGCGGCAGCCGCCGATCCACATGAAGGCGTTCTCGAAGGTGGTGCACCACGACGGCGACAGGAACGGCGGCCCGCCGTTCTGCTGGGCCAGCAACGCCCTGTGCTGCTGGTACTCCTCGAAGTGCTTCACGCTCCTATCCACCACGCCGAACAGCTCGTCGTCGCCGAGATTTGACTCCACCGCCCGGCTCAGCTCCTCCATATCCTCCCGCTGCTGCGCTATCCAGTCCTGGAAGACGCAGCGGAGACGGCGGTGGTCCACGGCGGAGCTGCTGCTCATTTCAATTATATTCAATGTTGAATGTGATCGAGTGAGTGAGAAGAATATGAATATATAATGGAGATGATGTGAGGATCGGAGTAAAACCATTGGCGCATATTTAAGGTAGGCAGAAAATGCAGGAGGGGTGGGTTAAATCGCACCGCCCACCGACGAGGTTTCCCTCGACAGATGGCTTCATCGTTCAGTCCCAAAACACTGAACCTCCAAATAGTCTGCGTGCAATGAATCTTGCTGTACCACTAACCGGAAGGACCAGATCAGAGCTCCTTTAATTTCTTCAATTCGCTTCTCTTCCCTCTTTTTTTCTTTTAATATACAAATCTGCCACTACTATTACAATATGCCTGACATTCAATATAAATTAAAGACTCCGCATGGGCAGCTCAACTGGTCATAGTCTCAGAAAGAATGTAAGGGATCGAGTCTCATAAGTTGGAAAGAATGACCAGGATCGAATCTCACCGGCCACAGTGTGAGAGCAACCTCTCAAAGTGAGGGACTCCTTATGTGCAGTGAGGAAAGATCGAGCCCTCCCAGATGCTCCTAGTCGGGGTGTGAGGCCCTTAGGGTTGAAGTTCAACGTTTTGGAAAGAATATAAATAAAAGAATAAAAATTGGTATTGTAATTATTCAGGGCAAGTGGCATTCATTTGTTTCCTATATAACACATGTATCATAGTCTTTTACAACATGTTCACAAGTAGTTCGGGACTGTCTTACGTCGGCTTCCCGTAATCCTCTAGAGGATGTCTTACGTAGGATCTTCAAATTTTGAGAGAGCAATAAAATTGAAACCCTTATGACGATACTGATAAAATTGAATTGGTTCAATCATTTTAATCACCTACTAATCACTCTTCCAAACGTAACGTATCCTTAAGATAATATTGTAATGGCTCATGCTTTGCATCATCTCCATCCCTTCAAATCCTCAGATCATCTCAACTATACAGAACATGAAATTAAGATAATATTGTAAATTTATGGAATATCTATTGCCTATAGCATAATATAGTCAACCAAAACAGGGCCATAGGATAGAATTGGCACATAGCGTACAAGTGTACAACAACAAAAAATAAAAATAAATAAATAAATAAAAACCGAAACAGATCAACCGATTAGAGGTACCTGGACCTGAATGTATTTGGATGAAGGAAGATAGATGACGTTCTTGGTTTGATCATAATTCATAAATAGTGCTGACCGGCCTCATAAAAACTTTTTATAATAACAAATTAATTAATTAATTAATTGTAAAATATTTGTATAGTTGCTATCATTAAATTAGAAGAACCATTATTCTCCGCACCCTGACCCGATAGCATTTGGAATGATATAAATTATGGTGACTCAATGGCTCAACAGACATGACCAAATGTTGTTGCGCACAAGGGATCTACCCACTTTAGACAAAATCCCTACATTGCCGCTGCTATGGTTCAAACCTTGGTCTCTTCTCCCAAATATATAACTTACTGAATTAGTGAACTAAGTCCGTGTGGGACTACTAAAAAAGAGTTAAATTGAAGAAAAGACGCTCATAAAATAGGACATTTTTTCTTTATAAAAAATGGGACTGCACAATGGGACTCGAACAAGCCTTGGCAATCTCGTGAGAGAGCTCGACAGTCGACACATCACCCTAACACATTCAGAAAGATATTCCTACACTTTATGCTATAACCTTTCTAAAATTTAGATTAAATCTTAGTTTAACTCCAATTATAATATTAATATCCTTAATCTTATAGAGTTTCAAATATATACATTATTAGTCTAGTTACAAGAAAAGGTGTGAAGTATATACAAAAATATCATCTCTCAAATGGCGTGAACACTTAAATATAGAAAAAGTGGGGAGTTGCAATACCAATTGTATCTATGATTATACCGCAGCAATCTTAGAAACAAATTGACGAATTTGTTGTACCCTATGTGAAGGGGTAAAGGTCATGAAAGTGCCATGTGACAAAATGTCAGTGTTTTGGCTTGCTACAAAGGATTGATGTTCATTGAAGAGATATCATCACATGTAGTCACTCTTAAAATATAATATTATAATAATAATAATTAAATTTATTGTTTTTAAAAGCCAAAGCAATTAAAACCTTGCAATTACTGGTTGCATTTAAAAAAAAAAAAAAAAAAAAAAAAAAGTGAATAGCCACGCCAAATGGCAATACACCACCTTTTAGGGAGGAATGAAGCCTTATCTTGCATTTGTTTCAAGCGTTGTATTACAATAATAATTGTACCATTTACTTACCGCATCTGTACCACGTGCTCATCACATGCATTCACACCATCCTTCATACTTGTACCTTAAGGTCATCATATCTATGCTTGCTTAATTGTTTAATTGCTTGTTGATGTGATCCACTAGTACTTGATAATCAATATGTTTCTACCTTGGTAATTGGTTTTGTTTTTGCTTAGTTTGCTCAAAAAGGTTTTCTAAAAAACAATTTAATAGCATAATCCACCCTAACCCAAAGGCTAAATCAGAACTTTCCAGCATGCACTAATGAGTTCTAATATATGGACTCTCAAATCTTACTTTCTAATTTTTACTCTTTGACGTGGCGGGCATTGTAAACTACTTTCTTCATGTGAGTCCTAATATAAATGTCTACATCAAGATTTTGTATGTGGGCGTAAAAAATGAGAGTACACATAGTATTTTCCAATCAAGTAATCCCTTAAATTTGATGCTAATATGCTATGACCACTCATTTCAAGCAAGTACTACTACTATTCATATAAGATGCCACAGAAAGGCCCTTCCTGTGGGGTTAGCTCAAGTGGTAGACCACTTGACTTAAAGTCACCACTCCAACAGCAGGGTAGAGGTTCGATGCAAGTTGGAAGTGTGGAGATGGATCCCTTGTGCGAAGAGTCGAGGACTAGAAAGAGAAATTACCAAAGACTCCAATTCACACGTAGCTAGTACAAAAACAAGTGAATGTGGTTTTTGAGTTGCACAAGTACAAACTTTCTCATATTTATAATGGCTGATTCAGCAGTTTGAAGGTAATTAATCGTCTTTGGCATGTCATGTAAACCAACAGCACACTATGAATTCCTCACAAGAATTAGTCGAATTGAGCTGGCAGATTATGGCAAGAAACATATAAGAGTTTTCCAAAAATTGTTTTCAGTTTTTCGGGGACTCTGTACCAAATTGAAGCGTGCCCTGATAGTTGGATTGCACATTAATGGTTATATGCTCCTACCAAACACAAACAACATTCACACAAAATAGCAACCACTACAACAGATGAGATGGAAACTCATACCAAGTGAATCAAATCCAGGTAGTAGTTAAAAGGAAAAAATAAGAATAAACATAAAAGACTGCAATTTCAAGTATAGTGAACTTCAACAACAGAAAATGTGCATCAAAGACAGCAATAATGATAGTAAACAATGGACCTAAAACATGTCAAATGGTCAAAAAAGGCAATCTTCCTCACAAGATTTGAATCAAAAGAGGAAGATAACTTCTCAACATCCATCCAAACAGCATTGTATTCATATTCATAGTGAAAGCATAACATAATTACAACTCTAAATAATATAATGATTCGAGTTCTTTATATTACCATGGAATTCTTAAATCTTTTCACCCAAGATTATTCCAGCGCCCTTTGTACCGCATTCGATGGCTTCTCCAACAACTGGCCTTCTTCTTGCTCCTGCTGATTTTGAATCGTGGACTTCCTCTCCCACTCTCTCCACTTGTTAATCGCAGCTGTGCACAAAACTGAAACACAGAAAATCCCCAAAACAACTTTAAATCCATAAACAGATTGAATAAAAACTTGAAAATCGAGGGAGAATTGCGGCGAACGCATTCACGTACATCCAGCGCCGACGAAGCAGAGCAATCGAACGACCTTCGGTCCTGCCTCTTTTCCCGGAGCTATCATCTGATTCTGATTCATCGTTCTCCGTCTGGAGTCCTCCGGCCAAATGCGGTTGAGAAGAAAAAGACGGGCTTTGGTTCAACAGTGGGCCACCGTAGAGGGCCCATGGCCAATTACCAGACTCCGGATCTTTACAAAGTGGGCTAAGATGCCGGTTTACATATCGGATATGGAACCCAAGTTAGGCCATAAGGCCCATAAATGATTACATGTCATAGTCACTCTGTTTTCTCTATAGGCCGAATGTTTGTTTTCCATTTTAAAATTAAATTTTGCATGTTAGGATTATGGGGGCAAATTATTCTGTGAACTCGGGTCCACCTTGCAATGTCCACCTGGTGGATTCAGGTCTAAAATATACAATGTACATACTGAATGTTCACAATTTTATAAAAGATAAATTGTGAATATTCAATACATAAATTGTGTACTTTAGACTCGAATCCACCTTGTAAGGTGGACACTGGTCCATAGTATAACAACTCGATTATGGATTCTTAAGCCAAATC